TTCATCGTAGATTCGTCGGCTTGATACAGCAAATGTGAGGCGCTAGTCGTAAAATTGACTAAGCCCTCGTCAAGGTGGACCGTGAAAGTACAGAATGTCTTTTTTTCAAATTCACCACACATCGACGTTACCTCGTAACTCACTATCCTCGCGGTATCCAACACAGTTCAGCAATCCCAATTCATACAGCCCATCTTCCCATCTACACCTCGCTGTCTCTCTTGCTCTCTGTAGGCCTATTAGCTCGAGTCCAGACGGTCGCTTCATCCCAGTTGGTGCTTCCCGTGAACCGACCACTTCTGTCGTTGATGGGGACTGTCCCGTCGATTGCCTCAACCATAACGTCGTACCAAAGCCAAACAGCTACACTTTAACGCGATTCGGCCGTCGAATATCTTCTAAATGCACTTTCATGCGAAATGAATGTCTCACCAACAATTTTGTCCCAAAAGGTTCAATTTCCTTCTGCCTAAAAGAGAAGTGAGGCTTCGAAAATGCAAACAGAGACATTATCTTCCAACCGAATCCTGTGATGTCTGATTTAACTTGCAAAAAATCAGGTTTAAGTAGTGAGTAGTAGGTTAACAGTAGGCCACATCTTCACTTATTTTCGGATGATGGCGCAGTTTGGCGTAAAATTTCACTTCTTGTCCTAACGATGTTGGTCATTCTCATCTCTTTGCATTCTCTGCCGTTAATTATTTCCGATATGAATAGCTTTTGAGAATATCGGTAATCAGTAAAAGGGAAATTGTTCAGTTAAGTGTCGTCAAAGTCGTGAATTATTTGCTGGTAGCCGAAATTTCATATTTACCTCCTGGCATTCCGTATTGCCGCGTATTTCAGATTTGAATAGCTTTCTGTATTTCTTTATTTATTAAAAGAGCACCCTACTTATAAATGCAAAAAAACTTTCTTAGTCGAGTGTGGCGTAAGTCGTACTATAGGACCAATAGTTTAGTTTTCCCACCCACTACATCACATTTTCTCACGATACATACTTCTTATATGAGTAGTATTCGAGAATATACATAATTCTTGAAAAACAAGTTAATTAAGCAATTATGGTGTAAATAGTGATTTAATGACTGATGATGATATTTTCTATTAACTTCATCGCATCTGTATCATTACTTATTTCCGGCATGAGTAGTCTTCAAATTCATCGGTAATTTATGAGAAATTGCTGTTTCAGATGCCTCAACCCAAACGGCCAAACGACTAACCTTTAACGCGATTCGGTCGTCGAATATCTTCTTCATGCACTTGCATGCAAAATGAAAGTCTCACTAACAATGTTGTCCCAGAAGGCTAATCGAAACCCAGTTACTTATCGTTTCTGTCAATTTCATTCGGCTTAAAAGAGAAGCGGGTCTTCGAAAATGGAAACAGAGGCAACCACATCATCTTTGCCTTCAGACATTATCTTCTGCCACCCATCCGCAAGAATGTGGGGCAATTGCGCAGTGACCAACTAAATCATGCGATGCTGGTTTAACTATCAAAATATCAGGTTTAAGTAGTGAGTAGTAGGTTAACAGTAGGCCAATTCTTCACTTATTTTCGGATGATGGCGCAGTTTGGCGTAAAATTTCGCTTCTTGTCCTAACGATGTTCGTCATTCTCATATCTTTGCATTCTCTGCCGTTACTTATTTCCGATATGAATAGCTTTTGAGAGTATCGGTAATCCTTGGAAGGGAACCTGTACAGTTAAGTGTGGTCAAAGTCGTGAATTATTTTCTGGTAGTCGAATTTTTATATTTACCTCCTGGCATTCCTTATTGCTGCTTATTTCCGAATATCTGTATTTATTAAAAGAGCACCCTACATATAAATGGAAAATAACTTTTTTAGTCGAGTGTGGCGTAAGTCGTGCTATAGGACCAATAGTTTAGTTTTCCCACCCACCACATCATATTTAATGACGATACATATTTTTATATAAGTAGTATTCGAGACTATACATAATTCTTTAACAAGAATTGATTTTTTTTCATTAACTTCATCGCATCTGTCACATTACTTATTTCCGACATGAGTAGTCTTCAAATTCATCGGTAATTTATTAATGTAGGGCAGTGACCAACCGAATCATGCGATGTCTGATTTAACTTGCAAAAAATCAGGTTTAAGTAGTAAGTAGTAGGTTGACAGGAGGCCACTTCTTCGCTTATTTTCGTATGGTGGCGCAATTTGGCGTTAAATTTCGCTTCTTGTCCTAATGATGTACGTCACTGCGGTACAAGCGAGAGCCTGGCCCAGATTCATCCGACTTGCAAGACCATGATCCGATGACTTTTTGCTACAGTCTTTCGAATGAGTCTTCTTCACGAAGAAAATGTGAGTTTCGAGGAATCTCCTGAGACAAGCTTGACAGGTGGACTTTCATTTCGTATGGTGTGAATGAACTACACATCGCCTCATCATGTACTCCAATACCAAATGAAAGTTTTCACATGCGTCTTTTTAGCCACATTTCCCTTTGCAATTAAAAAATACGAATCTGATGCATCCTTGAGACCAGCTTCCAGAGTCGTGATTCCCTCTGTTTTCGTGGCACTTCTGAGTTTCCTTATCTTCAAAA